AGGAGATGAGCGATTAGCAAAAAAGTCTCAGAAGAGGAGAAGGTTAAAGCAACACTTAGGTAACAACTCAATCCTCTTCATATTTTAATTCAATTAGGTTTAGATCTGAGAATTGTTAAAGTTTTAAGCCATTTTTTTAATCAAGCATGAGCAATTTTCTAAGAAACTACACATGCATGTAGGCTATAATCAAGAATATGTGGATGCATGTCTCTCTATGTTGAAAAGCCCACATCTTTATGCATCCTAAGTCCACATGGATCTGGTCCATCAAGAAAAATGTAGTTTTTAGTTTATCTTGGTTCCCTAATGTTAATTTTGTTATGGTTTTGCTCCGCTTAGTAACTCAATAGGCTTGTAAGTCGATAAATGCAATTTTAGCCTTGTAAAACAGAATTTTCCAATGCATATTGTTAGTAAAAAGAGCATATCTTTCTCTAGACAAATCCTTTTTAAGATTTGTCTTCTATTCCAAAAACTAGACTCACAAAGCTCTCATTTGGCACAAGTTTTGTTCAATTTGGAGTTTCATTTGTTATTTCAATTCTTTGGTTAAGTTGATGCATGTGCATTGTGAAGTCAATCTGACCCTCTTAGATTGTTTTCCATGTAACTTTGTCTCTGGTTCGGATAAAATAAAATGAGTTTTTTGTTTTGAAAGTAGACTCATAAAGCTTCTTTTAGAAGTTTTGTTAGATTTTGATGCAATTTGATCACCGAAATCAAATGAGTATTTCCAAATGAGTTGTCTATAAATGCATATTTTTGAAAAGCTGACACTCATGCACTGTAAAGGTCATGTGTCGCTACAAAAAATTTATTTTCAAAGACCACTTGTTGTTATGGAAACTAGACCCATGTAGGAGCATTTTGACTCAGTTTCATTAAATTTGGACATCATTCGTTCCCCCGTTTAGCCATCTGATTCAGCTAGTGTGCACTATGTTTTACAATTGGTGCATATCATGAGTATTTGAGTGTAACCTTTTGAGCAAAACATAAAACATAAAATAAATCGTAAGTTAGGAAAAAAAACATAGAGACCTAGTTCTGTAGAATCATACATGTGTATGCATGTATGTATGTGAAGGAACTGAACCCTTGGGCTTGAACATCGATAACAAGGAAACACTTCATGTATCTGGTAGGTAATCCCTTCCCTTGTTCTTTGTACTTTAGAACTTCAATTGTATACTTATTAGTTCCATAGAAGTTCTATTCAAAATACTTGCCAATGATGATTATATCATTTGCTCACTTTGATATTACACCGTTAACTTTCATGAATGATCATGTTGGAACTATGGTTTCTTGCCTCGAAAATGTTCTTGTCTTGAATAATAACACTTGATTATTGTAATGGTCTTTTGATGCTCTATGTTTATGGATTAATGCTCTTCACATGAGGTAACTCACTGGTGGGAGGTATTGAGTCCTAGGAGGACATGCCCTTTACGCGAGGATACTTGCAGGTGGGTGATTATTGAAGGCAAGCGTGATTATTATTTGATGGATCGGGTTTATATTGAAGGCAAGCGTGATTATTATTTGATGAATCCCGTGATCGGGAATTTAGATCCTGAATTATTAGCTTGGTTGTTCATTGTTGATATCTGCAAGAGCATTTCCATTTGTCTATCTTATTATTCCCTTAAGCTTCCCTTATGGTTGTACCCTGATTTACTTTTATGGTTGCGTATTGAGCCTTTCACTCACTCCTATTTGTGGCTGCATCCGTTTACAGGTAGCAATTAGAACAAGGACAAGAAGATTGCTTACACCATCAAAGAATAAGCTCGCAAGTACTAAGCTTAGTTTGATATATTTGAACTTTTTGAAGAACTTCTGGTGTTGCATTAAAAAATATAGTATTAACTCCATGCTTAAAACTCTATGCAAGTTAAGTCTGGTCTCTTAGCTTTCATTCTATAATCGTATTTTATGGACTCTACTGTCAACGTTTCTTTGTATTTATATTATATATTCATGTCCTGCAACTCTATATTACTATGTGCAGGTGCATATGTAAAGTTTGAATAGGTTGACCCTCCATGTTACGGCCAGTCGATCAGGCCCAAAATTTCTGCCCCGTCTTGGTAGTAGGTCGGGGCCGTTACACTTATCCATATGGAATGTAAATGTCTCATGTGATATTTGATTGAAGCAAATGCATAGATACGTTAGGTAAGGAAACTTCGATGAAAAGTGGGATAAATTTCTAGTTTATATGCTATGGCTAATATGTAAATGCTTTCACTTAACTGATTAAATTTATAGTTTGATTTGGTAGATTATCACATTTGAAGGATTGTCTGCTGAGAATTAGCTTTTGACACGATGACACTTACATCATCTCAGATTCTCGTCGAATACTACACCAATAAATACATATTTTGCTTTCTGAAAGGAGTCGAATCTACAATTTCTCATCTTTTTTTTTTTGGTATGATATCATCACTAAGTCAGGTGCATATGCTTTCTGAAAGGAGTTGAGTCTACAATTTCTCAGATATCATCAATTAGTCAAGTGCACATGCTTATCCACATGGAATGTAAATGAGTTTCATCTGATATTTGATGACAGTAAATGCATAGATACATTAGATATGGAAACTTCAATGAAAAGTGGAATAAATTCCTAGTTTAGGTGCTACAATTGATATGTAAATGCTTTCACTGATCATACTCCATTTAAAAGTACGAGTTCGGGAAAATCTTTCTGGTCAGTATTACCCTTAGCTTTTTTTGAATATTACATTATTATCCTAATCTATTTTAACCATATCTTATCTAATTACACCTAAACTATCTATAGGTCAACAATTTAAATGTTTTGAATATTTCACTTAAATCTTAATCTATCAAAATACTAATTATATCCTATATTAACTCCATATGAACTACCTATAACTCAAAAATATAGAAAAAATAAGATTAAGAAATTATACGTAGATAACATATTATAATACATGAAGTACTATAAAAAAACCCAAAAGATTCAAAAACTGCATATAATAGCCTTAAAAGTTTAAAATTACACAAAACACCTTGACTTTTTAAAACTTAAAAACAAACATGATATCTAAAAATTTAAAACTTGTAGTTAACACCCTCAACATTTTAAAAATTGTAGAAACAACCTCAAAAGTTTAAAGGCTAAATTACATTTATATACCCTACGTGTTTCGCTCTTGAAGCAATTATATACCCTAAGTTATAAAATATAGCAAAAAAATACCCTGAGTTGGTAAAAATTTGCTAGTTGGTACCTTCTGTTAACCAGCAGTGAAAATATTCTCTGGAATATTCCCACATGCTGGACCTATGACCAACTTGAATACTTACCGTCATTTATTGTATTATTTAATGTATTACCTCCCCCTCCCTCCCCCCTGCAAATTAGATTATTTTCATCATCATCATCATCTTTTCATGGCCTCCAACTTCTTCTTCCTCTTTAATATGGGTAACAGTAGAAAATAAGAATTTTCACTATGTTAGGGGGATTAATTCTTAAGGAGGGGCGTTATTATCCTTTCATGTATTTTCTAACATTGTTAGCTAAATTTAAACAGTTACCAACACAGGGTATTTTTTGCTATGTTTTGTAACTTAGGGTATACAACAACTACAAGAGCAAAATAATAGGGTATATAAGTGCCATTTAGCCATGTTTAAATTACAAAAAATTATTCTAAAATTCAGAGATTTTAAAACTTAGAAACAACATAGATGGATTCCAGGGATTACATTTAGACACATAGAAATTTAAAATTAGTAAAAAAAATAACCTCAAATGTACAAAAATTACAAACACTCTCTCAAAAGTAAAAAAATATTTAAAAAATTCTAAAATTTTAAAACTTATAACTGGTACACATCAAATTTAGAAATTATCAGCAGATTGCTAAAAATTTAAATTTTAAAAAAACAACCCAAAATTTTAGTAATTATAAAAATACCTTCAAATTTTTAGAGTTACAAGAAATATTCTAACATTTAAAAACTTATCACCAATACATGAAACATGAAAATTATAAGCGTCTATTCTTAAAATTTAAATTTTTTATAAAATACTATCAAAGTTTAAAAATTACAAAACACACCCTCAAAAGTTTAAATCACAAAAGGCTAAATTTTGGCAAAAAAAGAGGAAATGTTTGATATTATTACATTAAGATATAATATGTTAGCATTAAATGATTATAATATATAAACATTTATCTCTAATGTTGATAATATTTATTTATAAAGTAAAAAAAATACAATGAGTTATGTATGGAGAAACTATCAGAAAGTTCGGAGATATCCTTTAAAAGAACTAAGTTGTTTTCAAATCAAATGAAGAAGTGAAGGAAATAAACTCAAAATTCAGAAATATTCATGAATCACTTGACTTGACATTGATAAAAAGCATATCAAGCAAAGAAGCACTAACCGAGTTCTCCTCGAAGAATATATTGAACAATTATGTTCTAATTAAAAAAACATTATTCATGAAAAGTACAAAAAAAATTAGTAAGTACTTATAAATTTTCATATTTTATTCTAAAAATACTGAAGGAATCATAAACTTAATATAAAATTTCATATAAATAATCTTGCAATATAAACTGAAGTGAAGCTATTGATCAACTATATTGCGAGATATAATAAAATAGATAAGATGAGAAAAAACACTATAATGGACAAAAAATATTCACATGATACTTAGTTATCATAGTGTAAATGAAAAAATTAAAATTGATAATTTTCTTTTTTCTATATAGTGACACGATTCTGTAAGTATCCTTATTTGGGGATATGACTACCAACGAAAGATTAATTTTTAAGAACACGATCAAAGATAAGCATGTAATAGTACTGTCAGATTTTAAAATCTTTAAATATGAAGATAACATATTTTACAACTAAAATTCTTATTAAAGGCCACTAAATATAAAATTCATCTTATACATGTCTCAAATTTGTATGAAAAATATGCATGTCATCGTAAATTGTGTTAATAATATATCAACTTATTGAAGAAATAAGAGATAGATAAGCAAACCAAGCAAACATCCATATAACACGATAAAAAAAAAATTACACTTTAAAGCTAATATGCAGGGCTCATTCAGAACGAGCTGCTAAAACCAAATCATCTCCATCAAGGCTCTTTATAAATACAACACAAATTTAAATTATTTAATATTTTTAAAAACAGCTTAATTTTTTAGTAAAATCAAGAATCTTTAGAAGTGATTTTCATGAACTCTTTTAATTTTTTATATGGTTATGTGGATGCTTTTATCATATAAAAGTGTAATTGAGTTAGCATTAATTTTTATTTTATGATTTTTTTCTAAAGTCTATCAGTGATTAGCAACAAAATTTATATTCTCTTTAGCAAGGTTTTAAATATCGGATGTCGGGTTCATGTCGCTCGGCCAAAATTCATGTCGGATAGCGGAAATCAGGGATATATCGGGGGACATGAAAAAAATATCGGATTGCTATATCGGATAGGTTGATATAATATCATAAATGGAATCTTCACATACTTAATAATTATATTATCTAAACATATGAAAAAATACATATGAGAAGGTCTTCATTTTCACAAGCAACCACCAAGTTTTTGCTTTTGCATAGAAAACCAAATAGACACTAGAACAGCTTAACTGCATATGTTTAGACAATTCTTATTAAAGTATAATAATTATCCAGAATATAAAAATTACTAATACAATTCTTTATACACAACTTTATTTATTAATGTAAAGATTTATTAATTGTTCAATTTAAGAATTTATGTTATTATAAAAGTCACTTCATAATTTTACAATCAAAGAAAAAGATTACAAAAAAAAATGTTCACATACAAAGCGCGTGCATTATACTAGTAGGAACAAAAAGAAAATTCTACAGAAATTAAAAATTAAACTCGTAATTGCTATTCTAAACTACTTAACTGCATCGACTAACAAATGCAGGATTTTTATTATATATCTGTCATTTCTCCAAACAAGAAACTAATAAAACCGAAGTATATGTGCACCTAATACAAATAAATTCATGTGTTTTTATAGCCTTCCATTATAAAGAAAACACATGCAATAACAAGTAATTAAAACCTACAACAAGCACCCATATGGGTAGTGGATGGGAAACAATGTGAAACTTTACATAAGTAGAAGGTGAAAGATATTGCAAATAATATGATTTCAACATGTCAATGTGAAACCGATATTTCTGAATTTTGGCCGATATTTGATGACCGAAATGTCGCCCGATATATCCGCTATTTTCCGACATGTCCCCGACATGACATCAAAAACACCATACGCATTAAATTCAACAATTTCGTGGCGGCGCCATACGTATTAATCATCTTGTTTTATTAGCTTTAATTATTCATCATTCTTTTATAACATTATCTTTTTAAGTAATTTTTACTTTTACAACATTATACTTTCTTAAGTCAAGCTTGGTTTCATGCTGATCTAAATAACGCGAAAATTCAAATTAGCTTTAGATTATAGTTATTTCTTGTCAAGTCAATTATTATATGAAAATTTTAAATTTGGTGTAGCTCATTCAAACAAATATTAAAAAAATAATCACAATAGTAAAGTTTGAAAATATAAGTGAGAAAAACAATCAAAGTGGAACTGAGAAACAAATTTTAGTAAAGAAATAAGTCAAAAATACTTAATCATAATATTTAATCACGTGCATTGCACGTGCATAAATCCTAGTCTGATTAAATTTATAGTCTGATTTAGTAGATTATCACATTTGAAGGATCAGCTGCTAAGATTAGCTTTGACATGATGACACTTACTTTATCTCAAATTCCCATCAAATACTATACCAATTAATATATATTTTACTTTTTGTAAGAAGTTGAATCTACAATTCCTCGTCATTTTCTAAGTATGATATCACAAATAAACTCTATATCTTGTAGATATTTCTTTATGCAACCACTTCTTGAAATGAAAAAAGATAGTTTATTTGTCCACGTATACGAAATCGACTCACTTTTTCCCGATATTCATTAACTAACTACCACAAAGGTCTACAGACAAGTTATCTTTATCTTCAACTTATGTGTATCCATTGGCCAATTCATTCTACTTTTCGGGAAGACCTGTTCTCCTATTCCACAATTGTCCTCAAAAGGGAGTTATGCTCTAGTGGCCCTACTTATAGTTACCCGTTTGGTGTTGCTAACAGTATAACGCTTTACCAATTTATGCTACGAAGTGTCATTTTGTCATATTACTCATCATGGTCCAACCATACGACCTTCTTCAATCTTCATAATTGCACAAGATGAGGGGGGTCTGTGCAGCAGGAACAAGGTAAAAGGGTTCGATAATATAAACCCTTTCCAAACTCAAATTATTTCAGAAAAATAACTTACCTCTGAAATTCCATGTGATTATCTCATATGTGATATTAAGCATATGATTGTAGAAGCAGACATACCTCCAGAGCACATTAGCGAGATCATCGTTTTTAGCTTCAGGAGTCAGAGCAGCATCATATGCAATAATATTTCCATAGAATATCTTCTCTAGCTCCTTCATCCATTTTGTTAAGAGCAAATTAACCTGCCATTAAGAAATTATCAGAAAAATATGAAAACCAAGCTAAATATACCTAGTGCTTTACATATATAAAATCTATAAAACTCGTCCACTTCACAAATAAATAAATAAAAATAAAAAATTCAGAACTGATATGAAGTCCGCAGCTCAAATGTTTACTGAAATTTTCTGTACTATTAGAATAGAGTTATTAACATGTAAATCCAATCTGCTTGACATGTGAAACAATCTTATCTGCTTGACATGGCAATCTACTTGCTTTACTAGAAAATATCAAATATAGTTACTCAGACTCCATTTGCTCAATCAGTCATTGGCAAGAATGTTTTTCAATATCCAGAAAAAATTCAAACAATTTTTGCCTCTTCTGGTTTCAACAATGAGGAGTGTGATGGAAAGGGAAACCGAAGCTTGAATCCTCTAAAGGCAACTGCATTCCACTACTTCAACCTACCGAAATCGAAAGGAAAAAAAGGGTGTTGATGAAAAGTGGACCTTATAGGATGAGAAATAAGCAAAGTCCCAAAAAGTTAAGAGGTTACTTCAGCTGAGATACAAGGGAAGATGCTATCTTTTAGATAACTAGCTAGCCAAAAAGGGTTATGCTAACAACTAGTAGCGCAGCAAAAAGGAGGAATTTATACCGCACATTGAACACTCCTAATGTTGAAGACAGAGCATGCTGCTTTGCAACTGTAGGATACAAAAGAATGAGAGGACAATACTTCCAATTTTGAGGTAAGAATTTGATCTAGGATCTTTTGCTCTCACAGTGAAAGTGCAATGCTAATAACCACTTTACCTAAAAGCCTAAGTTGACATGGTCTGGTGGGTACACAATTCCATTATATCACAATCTCCAATAGTTTGAAAACATGCAACAGAATAATGAATTTAATAGTTAGGCACTGTGATAAATGGCCAGGTTCCAGGGTAGACCAAAAGGAACAAGAATTAAGGCAGTAAAAAGTGAATTGGTAATTGCTGAATTTAAAGTGATGTCCTTGAGGAAGAATCAAGTAAGAAAAGGGATTCAAAGATTTTGGATTAAGTTCTTATCATTTTTGTTGCCATTATTGTATTAATACATATTCTTGTTGAGCTTTACCGTTGCACAAATATATGAGTTGGTACAGTTGAAGAGATGGCAAAAACAATTCATGTGATTGAACACTAGGCTTATTCCTTTTGTACAAATTATGACATTGCACAGATATACAATTGCACAAAGGTAGTTTCTTCATTAACTTTAATTATAGTGAATATCTAACAACCTTTCTCCTATGAGTTGAAAGAACACTGCTGCAAATTATTCATTGATTGTGCCTTACTATGTCAGTTGTTATTTATCAAGCAATTCTTCCCATAGAATTCCTGTATACTTGCTAGCCTTTGCCAATTGCTCATAACGGAGTTGTTTCTACGTGCTGTCATTTACTCCTCTTAGATGGTTATGCACATATTTCTTCATGTAACTTTTTAAGTCCGGATACTTTCTTTCTTGTGCTCTAGGCTTAGTTTGTCTTTGGAAAAACCTGCCAAGTGAAGGGTGTTCATGGCACAAATAATAATGTGATCGTCTCCAAATAAATTAAACAACCAAATATATAAATAAATATAACAGTTGGAGATTACAAATTTATAAGGAAAAAACATTAAAATGAAGGGAGATACACCACTATCAACGAGTATATTCACTATATGTTAAATGAAAATTTCTAATATATGAGATGTCCTTTTTGTTTCTTTTTTCCTGAGTTCAAGACTTGAACCTGGGTCCTAGGACCTCCCAGCTAAAACTCATCCTCTACTATTAAGCCAAACCTCAGTGCCTGTTTTGGCATTTATTTAAACATACACAGTTTATTTAGAAACAAGTGGATCTTAAGAATCAAAAGAAAGAAAGAAATGAATGTTCGTATAATGCTTAGAGAAATAGCAAAAAATAAAATAAAATAAAATAAAAGGAATATCCATACAAAAACAAATTTCATATAAATAATAAGACTGCAGTTGCTCATAACTCATATTTTAGAATTATGTTCTTCACTATATCCACTTGATTTCTTCTGGTTTCACATTGTATTATTGCATATAAACTTTCTAATGATAAAAATAACTACTCAACTCATTATTATAGAGAAGCTTAAAAAACAATTACATATCTTCATCCAAACACACAGGTACTAGAATTTTAGCAGATTGAATGAAACTCTTAGTAATCTATCTGTAAAGAATAATTAAGTAGATGTAATCACTGACCCCGGCTTTTGACACTCGCAACTCCAAATCATGATTGTAAATCTCATATAGGTATTGCCCAAATTCAACTCCTTCCTTTCCTTCCTCCTTCATGCGGCGTAAGAAGAGCCACATATGAAGCACCAGCAAAGCAAATGTAGTTTTAAATGTTTTCTCCAACTGAAACACTGGAGCAATAAGAACTTTAGAGTTAAAAACCATTCAAAGTCATTTATTCACTGAGAATCACTCGATCGAGTTATTATCTTTCTTTAACATATGATGCTTGGTAGGAGAAACCTAATAGCTAATAGTCATCACAAGATAAAACTCAACTCCTCAGCCTTCCTCAGATTCGTCACTCCTAGATGGATACATACAACAATATATTCAGGCTAAGAACAGGAGCAAAATATGATCATACTCTAGTTAACATAAAATAACAGAAAGATATTGTTAGCTACCCACAATTAATCAACAAAAAACATGAAAATGGGGGAAAAGAAGAGTTTGTAAAATTTCATCCACAGTGTGAGTTTTCTTCACTTTTCCATAAAGGAAACATTAAATGCCAAAGCACATGATCTCTCATTGTAACCTAATTAGCCTAATTAAAAGCTCGAGATATGCGCAAAATAGTATGCAGTGTGTATTCAGATAATGAAGAGTGTGTCCTCATTTTGTGGTGTAAACCCGCATTATCCGGAGTCATTTTCCCATAAGGTCATAATAAGAATAAATCATACTCATCCAATAACTGGATATTGTGCTGAAAGCTCCATGAAAAGTTGAGTGAAAGAATAAAGTAGAAGAATAGATGGACATAGAAAAGGGAAACTCTTATCCAAGAGAGGGATAAATGGAAGCAAGGGTGGATAGGGAACTTTGAAGTTTGAAATACCAATACGTCATCCTCAGAACTCCCTCAAAACCCTTCACAACATAATGAGATATATGAGGGAAAACCATCCACATAGGATGAGAAAATTCAACACAAGCTCTTCATATGGTTCAGCCTGTTGTTAAGCACCCAGTCAGATATGACTTGGTCCAGCCCCAAAAAGAATGTACTGAGAGAAAATGGAACTTCTGAGCCACATACGGTAGCAAATGGATAATACAGTGTAACCGATATTACTTCAGAATCCAACCATATCCTTTCCAACCACCTAATGGATACAACAGATACTGCACATATCTATCTAGATGTCTTGCACTCAGTTCAAATTTTGAAGCTCTAACGAGTCTCAGATACAAGCCAGTGAAAACTTTGAACAAAGAATAGGGAGTGACAAATAGAGTAATAATGGGAAACTAGAGAATTCATGGAGAAAACTTGTCAGGCCCCAACTTCTTGGAGAGAACAGCCAACAGTATATGGGCGTGTAATATACATATTAAGGATATAACTATCTGTGTCTAACAAGGTTTCGAATTTTGTACGCATTTCAGCAGGTAGTACAACTTTGGATCAGAGGTTTGAATGCTCAATAGTGCAATTTACATTTTCAATAATTAAGAATAAAATTAAATCAAGTAAAAAATATTTTTTACATTATTTTTCTTAGTTGATGAAGCATAAATTAAGTCTTGACAAAATATTGTTGATGTTGTAGCTGATGCGGCATTAATTTCTAAACATGTGATGTTTAAGTAAATATTTTTGTCAAATAAAAGTCCTACATTATGGCTTAGAACTAAATTTTTCTTGGTTTAATAGCTAGAAAATTTTGTTAATAATGAATAATTGAATATCATTAAGATTTTTTGTTTCTTTTCATATTTCTTGTATGTTTTCTTCATAATTTTCTTCGAGTTCAAATTTTGTGTTTCTTATTGGACCAAAAGTAGATTAAATATGGTAATAGTGAATTGATTATATATACATGCACACATGTATGTGCTTTTACTATTTAGAACAATGTACTGATGTGAATCCGCAGCTCCCCCTCCTCGGTCCATTTCTTTTAATGCATAATAAGACATGCCAGAGCTCAAGAAGCATTACCTGCAAAATTCCTTTGCCACTTTAATTTATTTAATATGAATAGATAGAAACTAGTATGAACAAGGAAAGTGAACCAAAACAAAAAACAAAATGACTCAATTTTGTTCGTTTCAGTTAACTACCAAGTCCACAAATCTGTACTCATTCAAATTAGTGTCTTTTAATTACTGAGTGTAAGCACTTCAATTTAGATATGCTCTTTCTTTGTTACATGTATTAGATAGAATTCTTCAGAAGGAAATACCCAAATGTTAAAACTCTTTTTGCTAACTCACATAAAAATTTAAGCTAAATGAAACCTAACTCCAGCTGTAACTATCTAACCAATTTTGTATGCGCTACTTGTCAGTGTTCAGATTTGCTAATAAAAGCCACCTTAATTTGGAACACATTTAGGTAAGTAACTTCGAGCATCTCACATGAAGTCTCCATCTACAAAGTTCAGATCTGAAAAGAAAGAGGTGGCACTCTAGCAGTAATCGCTTGATCTTCAACATGCTTAAGTATTTCTGCTCTTTCCATCTCCACCTCTAATTATTTTTCTCTTAAATTTTTCTACTAGTTCTGTTTTCATTAAAAAAATATGATAGAATCTAGCTTTGGTCTGTTTCACTTACTGTAGAGCTGAAACTGAGGAAGCTTTAACAGCCTCACTGAGACACATCACTACTAGCTGAACCCAGTAATATGGGATCACTCTCAATTGGATCCTCAATCAAATTTGAACACCTAATGCATATATATTTATGTCAGTGACGGTTTTTGAAACTGTAACACATACATAAACAAATGTATGCAAAAATGTATGTGCCTTTATCTTTATCTTCTGTATGAGTAAATTTGAATCACATGTTGATGTGATTTCCATCCATCAGAGCCTTTATGACCCAGACTAAAAGGACGTATATGGTTTAACACCAGTACCTAGCTAAGATGCAGTCAAACTGTGTTGTATGAATCTGTAGCCTGATAAACATTCATAAATGAAAACAAAGATGAACTTGAACCGATTGAAGCATAAAGACCTCTTGTTCTCAGATAACAGGCCCTAAACCTTCAATATATTTTTCAGTCACCTAGATAGTTTCTTCACCCACCAACACCGAGTCGCTCTGGCTATTTCACTCTCCCACTTGAAAAAGGGCTTTTGACTTCACAAAATTAGTCTTAGAACATGGCATTGAGTTCACCACTTAGGTTAACTGAGTTTAGCTCATGAGAAAAAATTCCAGTCAAAATGGCAGATTATCAGTAAAATCATCCCAAGTGACGTAGTTCATGGAACTTTCAACTGAAAATCATAGTAGAGTAATGGATGCTTATTAAGAAATGGGCGATGTTTGTGACGCATGAGCATGTTTCAGATGGTTCATGAAGGCTAGTTGTGATCTACATGTACAAACAAGGATGTAGCAATAATTCATTGTGTCTAGAATATCCCTTCAACAAGAAGGATACCAACAGCTGCCTCCCCCCAAGCCGGGGGGGGGGGGGGGGGGGGAGGGGGGGGGGGGGGGGAGGGGGGGGGGGGGGGGGGGGGGGGGGGGGGGGGGGGGGGGGGGGGGGGGGGGGGGGGGCGGGGTGGGGGGTTGCCCTAGGATTAGTCATGTTTCTGTGCCTTCGACTGTAGAAGAACGAGATGGCCTCAATAGAAAGGATCACTGTATTTAAATTTGAGATATAGTTCCTCAACCCAAGACTTGAAAGGACAACGATTGAGTCCTCTAGCTAACTCCCTATGCTTTTAAAAAAGTGTACACACAAAATGTTGACGTTGGATGAGTAGAAATGACCAAGCTAAATTCAGCTAAACCCAATTGTAGGTATCCAGTTAGATAGCAGACAGCCTAAGTGTAGTTCCAACTTATATATCCATGCTATGGGCACGTTTCAAGAGCTTGTAATGTGACAAGGCAGAGGAGAAACTGTTTAAGAGAAAATTGACTTCTTAAAATAGCAACTTTGATGCAAATAAGAACTTAAAAAAGAACTACATATTAGTAACTTTTATAAATATGGTAAAGGTGTGTACTAAATATGATTTCCTCAGAATTTATATCATCTCTTAGTCTTCAAGATATCAAACTCTCCTCTTGCCCATTGTGTACTTGGCTAGAAATTTATATATAATAATCCAAGGGATATTGCCATGATTGAGAGCAGTTTACAGAAGAATTAAGATTTCTCTATGCGTCCTGTGCAGATGGGAAAGTAGGCTTGTTTCTCAACTCTCACAAAATTTGTTAAAATATGCAGCTTAGCTATTTATGAGGTATTCAGGGCTATAAAGTGAGCCAACTGGAAGTAAATTAGCAAAATATGCATGAAGATAATTGATGAGTGATATCATATCAAAAGAATGTGCAAGCTAAATTACGTATGTTAATTGAGATTTATTTGTTAGAGGAAGAAACACACCATCATAAACGGCAGGCTTATCAACCTGGGAAATGATACGTCGATAGACCACATTTGCTCCTCGAATGGATTTGCTCTGCTTGCTATAAAATAACATCAGCTTGAGAATAAAATGCCTGATGCCCGCATACTGTGGTTCTTCTATTCTAAGAGGAGAATTTGGAGCCAACGCTAATGAACAGGGCTTTGACCAAAACAATGCATTTAGTCTAACCTGTGAAAACAAATAGAATTATCATCCTCAATGCACCAATAGGAAGAGCCCACATTAAATCCATAATTATAAAGATATGGAACAGTAAATGTAACATATAGATTTGTTGAAAGCTTGAAGAAGTTTGTATGCAGGTTTTGCTAGAACATTCAGATAAACCAGAAGAATAGAAAATTTTTGGCACAATATTTATTTAACAGTGAACGCTGGAATTATAATGTTCAAAGCATGATTGAACATGACGATGACAGGAAGAACCTCACTTGGGTCGTAAAACAATATTCCTTGCACTCTTAAGTAGCAATAATTATAACATCAAATCTCAAAGGAAGAACCTCATTAGGATGACAAAACAAAATTACTTGCACTCTTAAGTGACAATAACATCAAATCTCAAAAAAAAAACTATAGGGTCATTAGGGTCAGGAAAATTACGTAAAAACTCAAATATTATTGGAGTAAATTGGATATGTAGAGTATCAGATACGATGAGAACTAATATATCAGAGAAGGGAAGGTTACAAAATCTTTTAGCTAGCTCACTCCTACAATTAATATAACTCAAAAGATGTGATGCCTCACAATAGTCCCACATCGGGAAATTGATAGAGTTTAAGAGGGTTTGAATGATGGGTCAGCGCAACATTGACTAGTCAATATTGACAGTGGATTGAGCCAAACTACATGTTGTATACAATGGGTCCTAGGATTTACATCGTGCCAACGGGCTTGTGGGCCCGGGACAAGACAAACAGTATCAGAGCAGTTAGCCAGCCGAAAATGTGAAGCTAAGTGACATGCGGGACTAGGTGCTACACTGCATGAATGCAGTAGGAGCCACCTCTAGAGCCTGCAGGAGCCACCAGAATCCACATCACCCGGTGGTGATACTGTGATGAATCATTGTCATTATGCTGCGATAAGGATGTCGCACATTAAAGGTGGGGTGAGTGACTGTGATGCCCCACTAAGAGTCACACATTGGGAAATCGACAGAGTTTGAGAGGGTTTAAATAATGAGTCTTAAGAGTTAAGTGCAACATTGACTGGTCACTTTTGGTGGTGGATTGAGCCAAACTACACGTTGCACTTAGTTGGCCCGGAGCTTGCATAGTGCCGATGGGCTCGCGGGGACTGTGGCGTGACAAAAGAAATAGTGAAATACCCATAAAATTTTTAGTTAGAGGGCTTGTAACAGTTGTCATTTTGTTTTTACACAAAGAACCCATGTTAAGGACCTAAACCGAGATAGTTGTCATTTGGTTTTAGCTAGTGAACCTTAACCGTGATAAGTGTCATTTGGCTTCATTTTTTCTAGCTTTGTTGTTCTCTTCAACATGTATCAAATTGATGGCTACAAGCCTACAATAGCCTATAATTTGAGAAACATGGTACCAGAGAAAATGTTAGCAATAAACACTTTGGCATTGACAAGAAAACTGAGATGCATCAAAAACTGGTCTTTTGCTCTCTTTTTTTTGGATCTTTTTTTTCTAATAAAATTCTAAGTGTATGACTTCAATAGATGAACTGACCAAGAAAACATAAATTCATACACCTATACTTAGCACAAATGCTTTCAAATTTTATTGATAATTATCACTTGCAAAATTTTAGGCTGTAAGTATAATGGTGCATACCTTTATGTTGTATTAATAGTTACAAAAAAGGTATAACAATAGTAATTGCATATCGTGTATAAATTACATCTAGAGGATTGCAAGTTTCCTTCCCAATAGATATCCAAAAGTAATCATTCAAGTTTCAGACTTGCCACGGTTTAAAAGTTATAAGCATTTGGAACAATTTGAAGGGAATGCACGCAATGTAATAGGCAAATTGTTTAGGTTGCAGATGGACAAGGATTACAAGTACATGAAAGAAAGCCATGAAAGAATTAGTGAAGGTTCTAGGAAGCTATCGTATTTATAGTTTGGATAGGTGTTGAATCTGTGATAGAAAAACCAAGTGACCATTTCAACAGGTCACTGTAAATTAGCACAACAGTGTGATATTGACTTTTGCATGAATACTTTGTCTCTCTCCAAAGCTCAATAGAAGCTACCTTTTGTATGATTTCTTATGCTTTTCCACAACCACATGGCATTGCTTCTCAAGGCTTTAGAGGGTGTTTGGGGGAGCTTATTTTTTGGTCAAACTAGATTTTAAGTTAGCCTTCTCATATCTACATGTTTGGTAAAATACTAAATAAATTAACTTATAGGTCACATTTTAAAATGCTGGTACACCTCGGCCTTTGAAAAACTAGCTTATAAGCTCACCTAAATAAGCAAGAATTGACCAAAACAATTACTATTCTACCCAAGCTATTTTTATAGTATTTTTATCATAAAATCTAAAAGCCACTAAAGACTAGCATGATTTATATGTCTCGAAAAAAAAGCCCCCCAAATACCCTCTTAGTGAGCAATCGATTATGGGATAAAAAATGTTGGTATAGGAGATAAAGAATTCAGGCTTATGCCAAAGATTGAGGGTTCAGAAGGTTAAGTAGCAAAGTATTTTAAACTGTCCCGTTGAGTTCTTTCTCAGTTCATACCATACAGCAGAGAGAAGTCTCCGCTTGCATGTGCCCTAAGGAAAAAATTTATAAAAAAAGTGTCATTTTACATCAATAACATTCACTTACTAAAGTCAACAGGAAAGCAATTCTAGATTTACCTCCTCAGCAAATATGATTTGCGAAGAATACTGATATAACTAAAATTGTATCAAAGGAAGGGATAACAACTGTTCAGCAACACGCAAAATCTTCAATAAGGAACAGTTATAACTAAAGATGCAACCAAAGTCTCAATAAATTAAGTGATCACCTCTCATTTCAATTATGCTTACCCTACTGAGTATGCTTTTGCCGTCATTAAATAAATTGTCGTATGGGCCTTTTTAAAGAATACATTAAAATCAAGCTGAAATAAACATTTCCCATAATACGCTAAAATTATCTACGAAATAAAAATTCTAATAAAACCCAGTTCAAATTACGGCAGCTAGAATCGAACCTCGGGCTTGGTCGGCTGTAGCATTGGGATCGAGGGTTTGGGGCTCGATTGAGAAGCGGCGACCTTGGCATAGTTGCGATCAAAGAGAAAAGATCTTTGAGAGGATCCCATTGGATTCTTCCCCAATCTGAGGTTGGAGATATGAGATGCTGCTCTTCTCCATCTCGCTAACATTGTATTGGGAGAGAATTTGATGATTAGGGTTTTGATTGGGTTTGGATTTCGGAACCCAATTATCTGCTGACCCGACCAAAATGAGACTGGAGTAACCGGGTTCGGACCCGTTTTTGTATATCCCTGATCTGAATTTTTTCCCCCTTATCTTCTTTCATAGAAATATACTAGTCGTGAACACCGTGCAAATCACGGAATATCATTTTCTTTTTCTCTACAATAATCCTGATTTTTTAAATGCTACAGAAAATTTTTTATATTTTTGATTGTTATGGTTCTCTTCTGTGCTACAGCTTTTAAAAATGTTACAGTGTTCCATGTGCTACAGTAATATATTTTCAAAAAACTCTCTAGTATATCGTTCCATGTAGCTATCTATTTCTTTATTACTAAATGAGAACAACAAGAAAGTTAAAATGAATAGTAATCTAAGTTTGTGAACAATGAAAAAAATAAAATGAATAACCAACCCATGTTTCACAGATGTGCAACCCATCACTATACTCCGACGTTCTAGGCCAAACTTCCCACGTTACACGTTCTCTCTCCCTCCTCCTCTCTCTCTCTGTATTTTTTTTTGGAAAACCACCCCACCCCCATCTCTTTGCCAGTCTCTGTCCCTTTCCCTCTCTCAACCCATTGAAATCCCCTTTGTCTCTCTATCCCAATTCCGACTCTCTCTCTCTCTCTCTCTCGATCTCAAAACGAAATTTTTGTTTGACACCTTAAATTAAGAAAGGGGATTTCTTCATTCAACCTCCTCCTCTGAATTGGGATCTCGAAACGACTCTCACTCAAGAAAGGGACGACCATGGTGGAAACGAGGGCTTCTTTTGAACGGTCTCTTCTTTCAACCTCCTCCTCTTCATCAACTGTCTTCAAGCCCAAACGCTCCAAGGTCCGATCTTTTTCTTTCTTTTTTCTTTTCTGGTGAAATTTCTTTAGTTTAAGGGCTTTGATCGGTTTTTTGTTTGTTGTTTTTATCTGTAAGGAGATGAAAAGGTTCCGGTTCAGATTTCCATCCTTTTTTTCTTTTTTATTATTTGTGATCTAAGTGTTCTTCTCCACTTTGTAAATTCTGTCTCCTCATCCATTTAATGTTTTCTAAAAATTTTGAATTTTGAATTTGGTTTTAATTTTAGGAGAGTAGAGGGTTAACTCGATAATTAAAGACTATTCTACGCGTTGGATCAGTATGTGAATTAAGTTTACCTTGAAGACTATTTATTGGTTTTTTTAATCAAATTTTGATATGGGTTTTATTTTTTAATGGTGAAATAGGATTGCGAGGTCGAGTTTCAGGTCGGACAATATATATTTTTTGAGGACAACTTATGTTTATGCTTATGGTTTGTTCTTTACTCCCCTTTTTAGGGATATTTTTATGTTTTTTTGTATATGCGCGTTTATTTATGTTAGAAATCCCCTAAAGATTATAAAAATTAAAGCTCTGTTTCCCTTCAAGTTGATTTATAGGAAAAAAGCTATAATAATGTAACATTGCAATACCTCTATGCCTATATATTCATGTATATTCATGTATATGATTTAATGTTGAAGATACGGCGGTAAGGTGTGATATTTATAAACAAAGAAATGTTATGTCAATTGGTGTTCTAAAATTTACCCCACTTGCCTTCTTTGTTTTTTTTATATGTGTATAATTGGTTGGTGTTGTATCCCAAACTGTTAAATTAGATTTGTTAGGGATAGAGATGTAACCTTTAGTATGGTCGAATGCGCACCATGCGCAATATAACCTGCTAATATAACGAGAATCATTAGCCGATCTTGGGCTTCTACCTTTAAACAACAGGGTTTCTAACAATTTGACCAATTTTATTGATCTTTTACCAGATATAGTGGAAATTTATGATGTAAGTTTGATTAGGTCAAACTGATTTCGATTTTGTAGAATTTGTTTCTTGGTGGATATTGTTTTTTAAGTTTCTAAATAATCTACAGTCAAAGTATTTTATAACTTTTAACTAGAGAATAGTGTGCTCTTGCTGCATTGATGATTTGAGCAGAGACTTTAAACAAGATTTTCACTCAGTCCTTCTACATTAGATGCTCAGTTGTAAGATACTTTAATGTCTTATTTCTCATGATTCATAATTAGTGGGTGTTGAAAAATCTAAGAATCCAGGCATATAAAGATACAAGTTGGATTTTGATGGAAGTATGGAACCTAAGTAGAGTTCTATATCAGAAAATACTAATTGTGTTACATATTGAACTAAAGTTTTTTTTCATGGAATTTGTGGAACGTGAATGATTCTTTGATTACAATTTTGTGGAATTTGTTTCTTTGACCAATCTTTCTACAATTGTTCTCAATGGTAATTAGGTGTCTAAATCATAATTTCTTGGATTGTTTGTGGAACGTGAATGATTCTTTGATTACAATTTTGTGGAATTTGTTTCTTTGACCAATCTTTCTACAATTGTTCTCAATGGTAATTAGGTGTCTAAATCATAATTTCTTGGATTGTTTGTGGAACGTGAATGATTCTTTGATTACAATTTTGTGCCACTTAGGGGTCTCTACAAACAAATTTTTCTATAGTGAAGAATTTATCAGACGAAATTTTATGGATTCAATAGCACTTGACTATACTTTTTGTTTGACCTTAAATTAACTATTTAAACCAGTACTTCAGATGTCAATTTAGGGTGAATGATTTTTTAATAACATTTATTTATTCGTAAGTCTTCCATTTATTTTTGTGATTGCAATTTAGTTGCATGATAATAGAAAAGTTCATTTGTCGCACAATCTCATTTAAGATCCATTTTGGACATTTGCTGAAATTTATTTCATCGTCTTTGTTTCAGTATTTCTCCTTCAACACCATGGTAACACATCCCCCTCCGGCGCAGAATCATTCTCCTTTTTGTTAGAGAAAATCAAGAGGTATTCTCTACTTCTGTTTTAGCAGATTGTGGATGTCCAGTACCAACCACTTATATATGTTGTTGTGTGGCATCATAAAGGGTTTGGTAGTATGTATGGCTACTAAAATGGACAGATGGCTGACATTCCCCACCTCCATCTCCCCATAGTAAGTTCTTGGTCTTTGATCTCTTTTCTCTACTTCCTTTCCATTTTAATTATACAAAATCTTCTTTATCTTTTGTGGCCATTTCTTAGATAGCAATTTTTTAATTTCTCTTTTAGATTTCTAAGATACTGAGAAGAGGACTCTGGTCGAAACATGATTTAAAAGGTAAAATATTTTCTTTTAATGTACAAATATCAAATGTTGTATGGAAGCTGTTATTCTCCCATCTTGAGTTGTCTCCTGTGTTCTTTGAATATACAAATATCAAATGCTATATGGAAGCTGTTATGATGATGAGAGGATATTAAACAAATAAATAATAAATTTTCTTTTCTTCACCACTTCATAGTCGAAGTTCAACATTTTGTAATGAAAAGTTCTTTATTTGTTGTTTTTTCTGTAATTCAATTGTTGGAAGTTTGGTTCTAGGGTTCTTTTGGCTTGATTTGGGGCACGTGAAGATTTCGGAAACTATTATGATGAAATGTATGTAGACATTGAATTATTTAAAAGTCTTTTGACTTAAACTATTGGATTTTAGCCCTGTTTTCACAAATTTGTAATTGGATTTGTTACTACTTCAGTGAGTCTATTGAACTTTTATTCTTAATTGATAAAAATCGATAATGAGAGAGTCACACAAGAAATTTAACATCATATGGTACAATTATTATCTTTTGCATTGTCGAATCCTTTGGGTTATCTGTTACATTGTTCCTTCTTTCTATTTTTTATAATTTAGCAATGCCATTAATAACTTAAGTTTTACACATTACAACAAACATCTGAAGAAGTTTGAATATGGCTCTTTGGGTTCCTCTCTAGCATCATGAACATCTACATGTTATTTTAGAATGATTTTATTTTAAAGACCGCAAAAAGAATAAACAAAAAAATCTTTTAGGAACCGTGCTTTGCACGGGTCTAAATACTAGTATCAATAATATTACTGTAGTATGAATAGTGACTCCTGGGTTCTTCCATTTGTATAGAGGAGTAGACTAGTCATGAACACCAAATTTTTTCCTCGCTACAGTAATCCCGATTTTAAATGGTACAATAATATTTTTTAACATTTTTTGAATTGCTATAATTCCCGCCTCTGCTACAGTTTTTAAAAATGATACAGTATTCTCGTGTGCTACAACGATTTTTAAAAAAAAATCTACAGTATCTAGTTTTCTGTTTGCTACAGTGATAATGTTACATTAAATGCTACTGTAGCATGAACAGTGCATCTTGGATTCTCCCATTTGTATAAAGGAGTAGATATATAGATATTTTATCCACATTCAAATCATCCATTATATAATGGTTTAGAAGTATCGGCATTGAAACAATCCGCAAATGTCAGGTGTCCACACCCTAATGAGCAAAGTGATGTGACTCCCTATGCTCCGCTTTTCTAACACCAAAAAACACGCATTGCTTCAAAAATAAGTATGTTGTGCTAAAATGTAACGGGTTAGTCACGTAGAACTTTTTAAGTAGAACTGGGATAATTGTTAAAGTGGGATAATTTTTTGACACTGAGATAATTTAGTGGAACAATGATGAATAATTCTTGATGTGGGATAATTTGGTAGGATAATTTGGTGGGATAATATGGATAATATTATGAAGTGGGATAATTTGGTAGGATAATTTGGTAGGGGTAATGGTGGGTATAAATTATTATTGTTAATGATTGTATATTAAAAATAATATAAGATTGATAAGCAATTGATTAGTCTAGTAATAACTATAAAATGTAATGCAATAAAGCATCACTGTTCATATCAAATAATAAAATATTTTACAAGTAAATAAAAATCTAAATCTCTAGAGTGACTCGACTTACATCATCCCACATGGCCTCTGCCATAGAATTTCTCCAAGCTCCTGCAGCTACTCGTTGAGTCTGTAACTCATCTTCTTCATCGGAGTCATCATCTGCATCAGCAACATTTTGTGGAGCTTCTAGTGGAAAATCATAAATATCGAAGTCATCATTTGTATTCTCTAATCTTAAAAAGTTATGCAATCCTACGCATGCAACGAACATCTTTATTTGTGTGGCATATGGAAAACCAGGAGGTTGGCTCTTGAAAATAGCGAATCTAGACTTAAAAACTCCAAAGATGTGCTCGACACAATTTCTAAGAGACACATGCCGATGGTTGAAAACTTCTTTTGAATTTCGTGGTCCTCTGTGGAAGTGGAAGTCCATAAGGTCTACTCATTGCATCCTTCAAGACTCTTACATCATTAGCAGAACCCTCCCACCCAGCTAAGACATAAATGAATTTGAGATCAAATGTGCAAGCTGCCAAGTCATTCTGAGAGAGAAAACCATGTCTATTTCGATAGGGCGTCTGATCTATGTTATACACCATGCACGGTATATGAGTCCCATCTATTGCACCGATATAGTCCTGAATAATCAATGTGTCAAACCATCTCAAGTGATGTGTGTGTGGGCACGCACGCATGTGTGCACGTGTGTGTGTCTGTGTGTGTGAAAAATCTAAATTAATAAGAATTACCTTGAAATAAGGCCAAAAGCGAGATTCTAATTTAACCTTATCAGGTGGATCAGTAGGGGGTGATGCCATCAAGCATGATGCTAAAGATATCAAGGCCTATAATGCTTTATTGAAACATACACTGATAGTCCATTTTGAACGATCAAATCGATCAGTTGCAACATAGTATCGTTGATTCTGACTAACTGTGAAAAGAAAAATAGCAATCATCTCCTCAACACTAATGGGTATGTGTCTTGTATTTGGCCCCGCTCTCTCAAGATATTGCATAACTTTATGAAGTAATCTAGATACATGCGGTAAATTCTACGAAAATCTTATGGATGATTATCCATCTTGGACTGTAAGTATGTAAGACCAAGATCTGTAATACCATGACGAGGACTTCGAAAACTAAGTGTATTTGTTACGAACTCCTGTGATAGAAGTCCTGATACCTTTGTGATCAGATCTGCAGACTCAGTAGCTAATTAGATTATGCGAATCAAAAGATTATCATCGAAGTCTTCATGATGAAAATATAAGATGTGAAAATTTTGATCTTCCTCCATCCTATTAAATAATATAACCAATGAAATAGAATCAATTTATTTGAAACTTATGTGCATAGGAAATAAATAAAGCACTCTATTATTAGCACACAATGGGACCGATCACAAAGTAGTAATCAATTAAAATGCTGACCTGTATGTTAATTGTTAATCACCAAACTATTGAAAAATAAAAGAAAACATAAAATTACACTACTCTCATGTACACAACATATAAGAATCATTTGTTGGGATGGTACATATAAAAATTTTATCCATTAAATGCACCAAACTAAGATAGCTGACAAGTCAAATAACATAAGAACATAATATAAACGAAAAAAACAAAAGCATAGCAACATCCTAAAAATAAATAGTTTTGACAAATTAAAATGAAATTGATCCTAAAAATACTTTCCAAATCTCAAAAAAAAAACATGACATTATCCCAAGTTCCACCTATTCAATGAAAAATAGTTTGACAATATGAAATTCCACATAATCCTAACACCATAACAAATCTTTAAAAACATAGAAAGATCATAAACTTCTAAATTACTGCCTCTAAACATCTCTAAAGAAATCAGAATCATAATGTTCACCATTTGGATCAGAATTGGCTTGAGTCTCATCATTACCATCATTCATTATCTCACCGGTCAACCTAAAATGTAGAAACTCATAGCGGTCTTTTGCATCCATGTCAATAAAGGTATCCTTCATGTCCTGTGAGATATTGTCACTGAGGATATTCCATTTTTGTGGCTTAGTCAATTCAGAAGTAAACATAATAGCATCAACCCATTCTTTATTGCGACCTTTTCTTATCTTCCTCAACTTATCAACTAACTCATAAAAAGCTTTACCTACAGTGACAACTCCCTCTCCTACCTCTTGCAACGATAACTGGGAAGATGCAGATGATGTGGCTGCAGTACCAATTGACCTACGCCTTCGTTTACCATTATTCAGAGTGGATGGTACAAAACCAAATAATGGCACATTATCAGGATCTCAACAGGTGCAATCTTTCTCTTCCATTACTTTATCTTGTTCATTACATGATTATACCTAAAATCATTTCCAAATTTTTCAACCACGGGGGGTATCACATTCCTCATAATCACATGCTTTTTAAAACTGCCATTTGCTTATTTATTTCCATTCTTAACTTCCTCTACTAACAGTCTAAGCAATTCATTAGTCTCTGCTTCAGTCTATATCATATAATCCATCCTTGCTCTTTTCTGTCCCTCACTTTCTAGACCTCGAAATATTTCTTCTTGATCCTGTGTCCCTCACTTTCTAGACCTCGAAATATTTCTTCTTGATCCTGACTCTGTGATCTTATGTCCATCCTATAACAAATTCAAAAATAACTTTTCATAATCTCAAATATGGAATTGGATTAAAATATAAATGCATCTGATATAAAAAGAACAAGCACATATATAATAATAATAATAACAATAATAATAAAAATACTTCATTAACAGAAGTGACATTGTGCTCCCCTTTTATGATTGGAATGAATTAGTGGCTAACCTAAGATTAGATCAACGCTATACTTACTCAAAACTGATTAGCGTTAGGAGATAGGCCAACTATCCATAGTTGTAATATATGATAGGCATATAAGGTGAATATATTTTAATAATATGTACATAATCCAAATTGGTGTTTTAGCCTACCTAATAATAATATGTACATGATCCATTCACTGTAATTTTTTGTGAAATTAGGGTTTATGAAATTATGGCTTATAACAAAAGTGGACCATACTAAAAGAGAAAGAAAAATATAAGTTGAATTTCTTTAGTCCAATATATGATTGAAATGTATTATAAATCAAATATCCTTATAATCTGGCAATGAAAAATTGTTGATTTAAACCAAAGAAACTAAACTGGTAGAATAGCATCTATTATCCAAATTACAAATTACATGTTCCTTTATACAAACCAAATCATGCTTTGAATTATTACCAGATGTGTGTACATAATAATTGCATTGGTGATTTGTTAGGAAGAAAACAAATATAATAAGAGTAGTAAAGAAAAATGATATCTGCTTCATCATTAGAAATTAACTATTATTAACCCTAGAAAACCTTACAAAATTAATTTAAAAAATATTATTAACCCTGAATTTTTTGTCGATTGTAATATAAACCCTAATTTCATATAAACTCTAATCATAAAAGCTTGCGTATCAAGTTCGAATTAGAAAAAGGGATCGATTTTTTGATCTAACATAAACCCTAATTTCATAGAAATTAATCTTATCAAAATCATATATTAGTTTCACTTAATTACCTACAATAATACTTGCAATCATGAAATTGGGCCAACCACATAAAATTTTATCCATCTGACTCCAAATCACATAAATTTTTAAGCAGTATCATGGATAAAAGTTTCATCATATATTTAGAAACTAATATATGATCAATAGATGTACACAGAACTAATATATGATCAAACATAGATTAATTTTTGCTACAGCAATAAAAAACCATTATTTATCCTCATCTTTGCCCACAACAACAAAGAGGCTCACAGTTTCGAGACATAGAAAAACAAAGCAAACAATCAGAGAACCAAAATTATGCAACTTGCACATGCGTATATTTGTTCTCATATATAAGTTAGCACTTGCAATCATGAAACAATAGTACGGCAAACTTTCATACAAAGAATACCCGAGTTCTTGGATAGCGCTGGAGAGGTTGATGAAGTCGAAAGAGATGCAGGGGGAGACAATGAAGCGCTGTTCTTCGAAGTTGATGAAGCCGGAGGAGATGCAAAGCCGAGATACAAAGTTGGAGGAGATGAAGTGCTGTTCTTCGAAAAGAGGCGGAACAAAAGGGAGGCGGAAGCGCTGTTCTAGGTATTTCACTTTTTTCCCAATTGTTTTCTTTTCAATCTGTAGGATAATTTGAGAGAGGAGAACTTATGGTTATAAATATAGGTAGTATAATTAGTGGGATAATTATGATCAATTATCCCAATTCTAATTCTAGTAGAATTCTACTTGACTAACGCACCAAAAAAATAATATAGTTCTAGTTCTACAAAAGTTCTACTTGACTAACACTATAAAAAAATATCCCATTTCCTAATTCTATGTGACTAACACCTTAAAAATTTATCCCACAAATTATCCTAGTTTCAATTTTAAGTTCTAGGTGACTAACCCCCCCTAGGTAAAATAAAAAGAAAAATCAAGCAAGACTACAGCTATAAATAGAGGTCTAGGCTGTAGTGAAGAGTATACCAAAAAAAGGAAAGTGGAAATCTATCAGAGGACGAACAAGAAGATACTAAGGGGTTGTTTGGTTGCTTTCCTTTATTTTTTCAAAAATAAATTTTCTTCACTTTTTTGTGTTTTCTTCATTTTTATGGAAAGTATTTTTTGTATTTGTTTCGCCAAAATATATGGGGTGAAAGTTTTTTCTACCATTTTTCTTAGTTTGGTTCAACTTGAAAAAACAAGAAAACAATTGATATGTGAATAGATTCCCTCATTTTCTAGTGTTTGGTTCAAAAAAAAAAAAGAAGAAACCATGACTATGGTCACCATGATGTGCTTACCCCCCTTATAGGATAAATTTATTTCGAACATAAATTGAGAGGCAAACATATATCAACCGTCACATAAAAATATTTAAAACTTTTAGGGAATAGTTTGCAATTTTTAAAAAAATTTGAGGTGGTGTTTGCAAACTATTCAAAGATTTGAGGGGCTAATTTCAAAATATGACAGTTGAGGGAGAATTTCAAAATGTTCCTATATTTGAGGAACTAATTTTAAAATTGAGGATATAATATTAAAATTGAGTTATAAATAAATGCTATCAAGTGAAAACAAAACTAAAGCATAACCAAGAATAGGTTCATAGAGAACACCAAAAGAATCAACAAAACTAAGTCATATCTAACTAAGAACCGAGAACCAAAATTAGGTTTATCAAAATCATATAACCATCTCATATAACGAAGAAGCAAAATGCCCAATGAACTAAGCTTTGATGAAACCTGATGCTCAAGAGAACAATATGCTCAGTGGCCATTTTCTTCATTGTATGCCTCGCCAGGAAATTGATGCGGCATAAACATGTACCAAAAAGGTTGCAAGTGCACAACCGTGTCAAGTTATAGTATTTAGATATCAGATCCACGAGGAAGGTGTTTTTGTAGAGAAAATAAAATTGGTTCTTAATTTCGTGTGCTGTGACAAATAGGAGTGATAAGGTGAATGGATTGTGAAAGAGATTGAGAGAGTGAAATGGTGTGGTAATGATGCACAGTGTATAGTGAGAGTGAATTGACAAAGAATGAGCGCTATCAATATAGGTGAGAGGAAAAATGATAAAATCAAAATAAAATAAAAAATCAAGAATAAAGAACAAAATTAAGAATAAAAAAATGCAAGAATTAAAGATGGTGGATTCAATTATAATATGGATAATCTAAATTGGAACCCACTTCTTAGGAAAGGGTGATTCCTAGAGGTTCTAGCTAAACGGCGTAATAAACAAAATAAAAGACAAAAGACCAAACTAACCAAGAGGGTTTTAAGCCTACGGTGAATAGTATAAGAATAAAAATCTTAACTGTTACCAAAATAAATTGTAAAATCTACTAAAACTACAAAATAAGTAATTATAAGATTAAATCAGAAAATAAGCTACTCTATAAGCATGTAATATAATCTAAGGCAAGAGGGTTCTAGCCTCTTGGCTAGTAACAAGATAAATAAATCTAACTATAAGCATAGAAATTAATCTAACTAATAAAGCAATAAAAGAGAATAAAGAAGAATGCAAAGCTTAAAAATTTTCCATCTTCATCTTCATCTTCATCATCCAACAAAGAGAAGAAGAGAAAAATTTAAGTTGGTGAAAAATTATTATTAATTATTGCAACAAAAAGTTACAATTTGGAAGCCTTTCTCATTAAGAGTAGCCCCTCCTCCTCAAAGGAGTTACCAAATTTCACACCTTAACCCACATCCATCCCTATTTATAGTAAACATCAGTGATGAGAGCCTTGGATCAAACTTTGAGCCAAGATGTAATTTTGGACCGTTGATACATCTGGATGACTTCGCATCGGATACACGGCATCGATGCCCGCATCGATGCCCGATCGATACTGGGCATTGATGGCTCCAATTAAGAATTCTGACTTAGGATGGACTCGTCCCGTCGAGATAGGTCGATTTCATATATTATATGTTAAATTTTCCGCCTTCCGAATTGGAGATATAGTCGTTTCTGTTGGCAGGCGAACTATCTTGATACATTGTTTTTTCATAATTTTAATTTTATTTCGGGCGGCGTTTCTACAAGGTACTTCGGGCTTGATTCTGGGCTTGGATTTTTTGAACTTTTGCTTGTGTGTTCTTCATTTAATTCTAGGTTTTTGTTGAGATAAGAGATCTTGGGCTTTTTTATTCACTAACGCTGCAATTAAAGATAAAAACAAGTATAGTGGTATATATCATTAAAAATAAATAATGAGGGTATAAAATTATAATAAAATGTGATTATCAACATACCCCACCCTGAAACTTTGCTAAGCTGCTAGCAGAAAATAAAAGAAAATCCTACTTCACTTTGCTAGAATCGCCGTTTGTATTTAGCGCATACAACAAGCTTTAAAAACCCCTAGGTTATCCCTAGGTGGGAAACGAGTTTGTAGATCTCGTGAGGGGTTTGCAGTGATATATACCCCCAAAATTCAAGTCAAATTGCCAAATTAAAGAGTTAGTAAATAACTAAATTCACTGATAACTTTTAGATATCTTAATTGGAGCCAGTTATCACTCAAGAAAATATTTTTTATATATACTCGTAAGGTATATTTTTAAGAAAATTTTCTCATTGTAGCAATACGAAAAAACTAAGCCAATAGAACTTAGAAATTTTTAATTTAAAATTTTGAAAGAACATGCTAATCTTTGTTTTAAATAATTTTTCAAGTTGCTTGATTAAAATATTTTCCTAAGACCATTATACATTTAAAACTTTATTAAGTTATTTTTTTTAATCTTTCTTTACTGGTGATTTTTTTTCTACTTAACGGCTTTCTAATGACCATTTAACGAGTTTTGGGCCAATGATGCGCTAACCAAATGGGCTTTAGGATCATTAGTATGGACATATCTCATTGGGCTTATTACTCGGTCACTTAGGGCTGTCAATAATAGAATCACCTGAATTCAAGAGTTTTTTTTTTGTGCCCAATTTTTTTTCGCACTCTTCTTTGCCAATTTTTTTTTGTATGTATATATATTTTATGAAAAAAATATGTAAATCAAGACATTATTGAAAATTATTTTTAACTGTTAAGCTATAGTTGCAAAATTTCATTATTGTTAAATAAAACAAGTTTCAAGGGCTTAAGTAGTATAACTACTTTAAAAAAATTGTTCTTAAAAATTATTTAGGTTTCATAAAAGGTGAACTTAAGTTAAATATAATAGGGGATTAGAATTTCAAATTTATCAAATAATAATTATTACATAACTCTATTCAATTTGGCAAGTATGATATATTTTTTATATTATTTTTTTAAGGAAAAGGGGAACAATGTAACTAAAAAGCTGTAAATAAAGAGACAAATGAATTAACTATCTCACCAGGCCCACCTATTTTTTGGCATTGGTCTCATGCGAAGAACTCTATGATGCCTAAAGTAAAGGCCCGATAAGAAGGAAGCACTACATTTGGGTCCGGCTGATAAAATCTGCAATTATCCCTTGGTCTGAGAGCGGTAACCGGTAGGGGATGAAGAACAAAAATTTATATTTTTTTCTTATTTTTTTTTCTGTTTTTTTTTTTCCGGTTTTTTTTTCTTGTTTTGTTTCCATTTTTCCTTTTTTTGAAAACTGAAACAAGAAACTCTGCACATGAGAGAAGAATAAATTCTTTTTTATTATTGGCCCGAAATAAACAAAATAACATGTAGATATGAAATATTCAACTGAACGAGTCATGTTCATATTGACTCCTGCCTTACTGTTGACGTAAAAATTCTTCCCGGATTTTAAAAAATTCAGAATGATATATTAATAATGTGAATTTCAAGGCATTTCGGGGTGTTCAGTAATCATGCAACAAGGTAAGATAGGTATTTATTGGTTCCATGATTTGTATTTCTAATGACTAGACTCTTGAGGATGTGAAGTTTTTGTTTCTAAGAACTCAATTTTCTGTGAAGTCTGAAATTTGGTTGTTGATATTCTCACAAGAATCTAAGGTTTATCAAAAGAAGAGTTCTTCAAAATTAAATTCAAGCAGCACATGTTTAAACGTTTTATTATTCTCAAGACCGTGGATCTCTCTTCTAAAACTAACTCTTCAACAAAATTTCCTCAAAACCAATCAGACTTCTTCTTCTTCTTCTGATTTTCCCTTATGAATGTGAGTGTTATTTAGAGGCTGATTATTGGTGGTCCCTGGATAAAAATGTTGGGAATCAGCAGCAAATTTCCCCAAAAGGACAGTTTCATTGACATTCTCAGTTAGAATGAGAGCATTAGAAGTGGCTTAAGAACGTCCGCCTATAGATGACTAGGTGTCTGTCCCTTTGGGATTGGAAACGAGGCTTGTGTTTTCCAAGACTTACTACTGGAAAATAAAAATTCTCCAACCTTAATCAGAACATCCTCTAACTCACCTAGACCTGAAGCAGATGCTATCAGCCAACTGTAAGGTGCATTTGGTTGGGTTCAGTACACCTAGACCCAATTGCTGATAGACTGACTATGGAAGCAAATTGACACTGACCCCTAAGTCTAAAAGTGCCTTATCAATGTGAGTATTACCAATGATACATGAAATGATGGGGGAACCTGGATCTTTACGTTTCAAAGGTATGGGATTTGACAGCATTTCACTGATATTG